ACGCAATGCTGCATAAAAGCCAGACTTAAGTTATGTCTGTTCTGACCTCACGTATCACAGTATACAGTCGTAACTGCGGTGTAAATGCATTTATGCCGCCTCTGAGCAGCTTTGAGAAAGACACCTAAATGCTGCTTCAGAATTGAATCAGTAACTCTGTATTGTTTTCAAGTGAATTATCAAGTCACATTTACATGAGAAGAAACTTACCATAATAATATGAAGACTTGAGACTTATGGACAAGCATTTTGTCTTGTTCCAATAACAGATTTGTTTTCACTTGCTTTAAGCCTAAATATCTCTAAATGTGTCATTTCTTATTTTTATTTTTTAGATTTTTCTTATTTTTATTTATATAATATCTTTAATTTTTTATTTCTTATTTTTTATTTATTTATTAGATATTTTATCCGATCTTTTTATACGTTTAGATTACATGCGCCGTCATTAAGCTTTAAAAACTCTAATAATTAAATAAATGTAATCCATTTTTTTCGTGATGCCTAAATTTAGTTGTGGCATTTAAAATGATGTGTTTTTATTTATTTATTATTTTATTTTATTTTACAAAATAGTATGGTTATGAAAAATAAAATTACAAAAAAAATAAAATAATTACCATCTTATTTGTATTAATCAGAATTTGAATATTGGTGCAGCTCATGGTTTTGTCCAAACATATAATGCAGTGATTGAGAGCTGAAGAAATAAAGGCTCCTCAGAAGATGTGAGATGTTCTGGAGGCTTGTGAAGATCATTCCTCCGCTGAGGAACAGTGAAAGTAAAGCTTCTGGAAACAAACGCTCCTCAAAAGATCCTGAGGATCAGATTTGAGACTCTAAAACATGATTGATGGAGAATCAAGTAAAGCTGAGCTGCTTCAGTCCAGTAAGTGTTCATCTGGAGATATTACTGCAGTTATTCTGACCTTTACTTGATCAAAATCAGTCAAGATTTGACACGAGAAGCTGAAGCTGAAGCTAGACGTTTATACAATTACACTAAAAGAGCTTTGACTGGATAAAACACTCTAAACTATCAGACGACAGAAGAGTTTGTTTAACAGCAAAGTCTGATCATGTTGATCATTTAGAGCCTTAGAAATTCACATTTCAAATATGATTCAGTAGCTTTATAGAGTTAAATCATGTCATCAGACTGTAGGAATCAGTGCATGTCATTTATTAATGTGATTCATGCAAATTCACAAGAGTAAGACCAGCCGTCTCATTATCAATATCAATTTACCAACAATCAGATGTGAATTCACGACGCAGTCTGTGTGAGTGACGGATGAGGGCCGTCTGCAGTGCTCTTCATCTCTCTCCTGTAGATGTGTGTGTAATATAGTGATCAGCACAGATGAGCGTTAATGCCTCAGTGTGGTTTGTGTCTGTGGAAACTAACGATCGATCTTTCATCTCCTCCCGAAGGCTGTATATCCAGGTACTCGGCTGGAAGCGTCTATTTCTACCCTTCATACCACAAGCAGCACAGCCCGCCTCAGACAGAGCGTCTCCAGAAGGATCTCAAGAGATACCTGACGCGCAAGATCGGCTTCGAGGCTGTCATGAGGATCCGCTGCACTAAAGGTGTGTTGAATGCAGAGGTCGCGTTAACCCAAAATTTTCCATTTACGGAATTTTTTTTTGCAGTAATGAAAGAATCTGAAGGCTGTTCGTCACTGACAGATTACACTGAGGGAGATCTATTGTAATTTATAACTGTAGTTCCCAGCCCTGTCCAGTTGGTGGCAGCAGAGCACAGGATCATCAGCTCCAGAACAAACATAAAACGGTCACCAGTCTTTTGCTATACGTGTGATTACGCTCAGTCGAGTATCCACTAGTGAAGCGAAAGAGACGATCAGTTCACTGCCGCTTCGCTGGATCTGAGGCACTACAGCGATCTATCACGCCACAGTATTTATTGCTTGAATTTCCTAATAAAATGGACAGAATTTGAAATCTGAGACTTTATCATATCAAAAGTAATAAAGCACAGAGCTTAGCCTATCGTGATTTATTGGATGGGAGGCGCACTATATGTACGGTTCATTCATCACTCAGTGGCCTCTGCTGTCACTGCGGTGTGTGTTGAACATGAAAAGTGACGCAGTCTCTGTTTATCTGTTCTCATCATAAATAAAAAAAAATGCATAAGCATATATGCTCGTCCTGTAGGCTCATTATTAAAAGTTAAAATGTGAACAAAACTACAAGCAGTTAAATGTGTTGTTATAAATAAAGTATGAAAATTAAAATGACGGATAATAATGGATTATGACGTAATGTTTACGACCCTGTGTGTCAGAATAACGGTCGCTGCTAGAGTCTGGTGGAGTGTGATGTGTGTGTGTGTGCTGTGCTCCGCAGGTCTGTCCATACACACCTTCCACGGGAACTTCTTCGTGCGCTCCACAGATCTGCTGTCTCTGGCCAACGTGAACCCCGACGCCGGCTTCGCCGTGCAGATGAGCATCGAGGAGAACCTGCTGGACCTGCAGACTGTGTCCTTCCAGGCCGCGCTGCTCTACACCTCCAGCAAAGGTGCGCGCCGCTCCTCAGGTCAGCTGACTGCTGTCATGTGACGCTCACGGTGCTCCTCTGTGCTGTTACAGGAGAGCGGCGGATCCGTGTGCACACGCTGTGTTTGCCCGTGGTCACTTCTCTGTCGGACATCTTCGCTGGAGCCGATGTCCAGGCCATCACGGCTCTTCTGGCCAGCATGGGTACGGCTGCAGCTCTGCGCTGTGATGATTTCTGCTAACAGACCTTCAGGAGGACACACTTAAAGGCCCAAAAACCTTCCTCATCGCACGACGCAACCTCATACAGAACCAACAACGAATTAAGGACACACACACACAGATAGATTATCAATAATATATAATAAACTATCAAGAAATATGATATGAAAAAATACAGTATAATGTAATAAACTAGCAATTGTAAATAAAATAAAATAAAGTAAATTATAAATATATTATAAAATATAATGAACTATAAAGAAATATAATATGAAAAAAATAGAATTTAATAAACTAGCAATAAACAAATAAAATGGAAAGTAAAATATAAATTATAATACAAGAAATTCAAGAAATATGTGAATAAAATAGAATAAATCTAGTAAACTATTAATAAACATGTAAATAAAATAGAAAATAGAACAAAAGTATAATATAATTAACTTCCAAGAAGTACGATGTGAATAAAATAGAGTATAAATATAATAAATTAGCTGTAACTGTGACGCTCACGGTGCTCCTCTGTGCTGTTACAGGAGAGCGGCGGATCCGTGTGCACACGCTGTGTTTGCCCGTGGTCACTTCTCTGTCGGACATCTTCGCTGGAGCCGATGTCCAGGCCATCACGGCTCTTCTGGCCAGCATGGGTACGGCTGCAGCTCTGCGCTGTGATGATTTCTGCTAACAGACCTTCAGGAGGACACACTTAAAGGCCCAAAAACCTTCCTCATCGCACGACGCAACCTCATACAGAACCAACAACGAATTAAGGACACACACACACAGATAGATTATCAATAATATATAATAAACTATCAAGAAATATGATATGAAAAAATACAGTATAATGTAATAAACTAGCAATTGTAAATAAAATAAAGTAAATTATAAATATATTATAAAATATAATGAACTATCAAGAAATATAATATGAAAAAAATTGAATTTAATAAACTAGCAATAAACAAATAAAATGGAAAGTAAAATATAAATTATAATACAATAAATTCAAGAAATGTGAATAAAGTAGAATAAATCTAGTAAACTATTAATAAACATGTAAATAAAATAGAAAATAGAACAAAAGTATAATATAATTAACTTCCAAGAAGTACGATGTGAATAAAATAGAGTATAAATATAATAAATTAGCTGTAACAAGAATAAAATGAAAAGTAGATTATAAAATACAGAACATAAAATTGAAAATAATAGAATAAATATGTAAAATTGAATAAACTATTTTATTATAATAAAATAGAAATAATATAATAAACATGGTGTTAAAAATGGAAATCAAATATAACATCATAAACTATTAATAAACAGTCTCGATAAAATGGGAAATGGAACATAAATAATATAATAAATTCAATAAACGTTATGCGAATACAACAGAAAATAGAAAGGAGAAAAGAATAGAGCAAAGATTTTTATAAAGAATTATGAATACGGATCATTCTGTCCTCTTGAGTTTCTTTCTTCTGCAGATGCCAGAGATATTTAGAAGAATATAGAAGGCATTCATATAGAATTGAACTCAGATGAATATCAGATATTGATTGATGCTTATCCACTCTGAACTGTTTTATAATATCAGTTTGGCGGCTTCTTTGGAGTCGAGTGTTTCGTAATGTGAAGCCGTCAGACTCGGCGCTCATGTTCCAGATCTCAGGAGTAGCAGAGGTTTCTACATTCTGACATGAAGCGTTGTAACGGAGTGTTTGATGTGTGTTTGTTCTGATGTGTGTTTGTTCTGATGTGTGTTTGTTCTGATGTGTGTTTGTGGTTCAGCCGTGGATCGCTGTGTGACGGCGAGTCTGAGTGACGCTCGTGACTCTCTGATCAACGCTGCGATCGACACGCTGGCGTCCTACCGCTCCTCAGTGCTGACCGTCCCTCAGCCTGGCCTGCTGACCCCCGCCTGCCTGCGCCTGCTGCCGCTCTACATCCTGGCCCTGCTCAAACACGTATGTCACACACTCCCACACACGCACACTCCTCACTACTCGCTCACACACACGCACACTCCTCTGCCAAACCCGGCTTTCGTTCCCAAAGTCAGTGATTCTGCTTATAACTGCTCTGCTTTGGAGTTGCGTGCTTTTTACCCTCCTCCTTTTTCTTCATCGGAGGAGAGGAAATTGCACACTTTGTGTCCTGTACGAGCGTTACGCTATTATGTAAACAGGACATGATCGTTGAGGAAGAATGATCAGTTATTCGTTTCATGGGCCACTCGTTGTAAGGGTAAACCAATCTCCTCGCAGCGCCTCTCTCACTGGATGGTGGAGGCGATTGAATTAAGCCTATATATCTATGGGTCTTCATTCCCCAGAGCGCTCGAGCTCATTCTTCACGAGGTCTTGCTACCTCATGGGCTTTGTTCAATGGGATTTCGGTGGGAGATATTTGTGCGGCGGCAAGTTGGTCTTCCCAGCTTACATTTATCAGATTTTACCGCCTTGATGTCATGGCGCCTTCATTGGCTCATGCAGTTGTTAAAGGGGTCATATGATGCTGCTAAAAAGAACATTATTTGGGGTAATGAAATTTTTTTTATGCGGTTTAAGGTTAAAAAAACACATTATTTTCCACATACTGTACATTATTGTTTCTCCTCTATGCCCCGCCTTTCTGAAACGCCTCGATTTTTACAAAGCTCATCGGTCTGAAAAGCAAGGTGTGCTGTGATTGGCCAGCTATCCAGTGCGTTGTGATTGGCCGAATACCTCAAGCGTGAGACGGAAATGTTACGCCCCTCCCCATATTGTGATGATGCCCTGTCCGGCCGGAGCGACGATTCAAAAACATGAAAACCCATTATAAACGAGGCATTCATTGGATCCAGTGGGGACATAATTACTGATTATAATGACTTATACTGTCATTTTACGCGTTGCGTTGCATTGCGTAAACATAAAACCATGTCTGCATTTGTGATCGGAGAAATGACAAACAACAAGCCCTACTCTACACTGACCAAAAAACTCGCTTTAAATATAAAAAAAATAAAATATAAAAACTCTTTAAATATAAAAAACGTACTTACAGGCTGTGAGTCAGCATTATTTGTCAGCATCATAGACTGTGGTCAGCATGCGCGCCGAAGGGGAAACAGGGGAACTGAATTCACCGGAACACCGGCATTGTAGGCTACTCTCCCAGG